TGAAGCCATGCAAATTTGTCAGCTTGTAGGCCTATTCATCCGCTATCCACCAAGGTATAGTTTGTCAAAATCCATCCATGTTAAGGTACCTTTAGACCGCGACTCATGAGAGCCATGTCGGCTGGCGCTGACAGCCCTTGCTATGGGACTTACTGCACAAAAACGAAACTGGGGGCATCATGCACCTACGTCTGGGGCTCACTCCAAAAGTTTCAAGTCTGAAGCCTTGCAAATTTGTCAGCTTGTAGGCCTATTCATCCGCTATCCACCAAGGTAGTATGTTTGTCAAAATCCATCCATGTTAAGGTACCTTTAGACCGCGACTCATGAGAGCCATGTCGGCTGGCGCTGACAGCCCTTGCTATGGGACTTACTGCACAAAAACGAAACTGGGGGCATCATGCACCTACGTCTGGGGCTCACTCACAAAAAGTTTCAAGTCTGAAGCCTTGCAAATTTGTCAGCTTGTAGGCCTATTCATCCGCTATCCACCAAGGTATAGTTTGTCAAATCCATCCATGTTAAGGTACTTTAGACCGCGACTCATGAGAGCCATGTCGGCTGGCGCTGACAGCCCTTGCTATGGGACTTACTGCACAAAAACGAAACTGGGGGCATCATGCACCTACGTCTGGGGCTCACTCCAAAAGTTTCACGTCTGAAGCCTTGCAAATTTGTCAGCTTGTAGGCTATTCATCCGCTATCCCCAAGGTATAGTTTGTCCAAATCCATCCATGTTAAGGTACCTTTAGACCGCGACTCATGAGAGCCATGTCGGCTGGCGCTGACAGCCTTTTCTATGGGACTTACTGCACAAAAACGAAACTGGGGCATCATGCACCTACGTCTGGAGCTCACTCCAAAAAGTTTCAAGTCTGAAGCCTTGCAAATTTTTCAGCTTGTAGGCCTATTCATCCGCTATCCACCAAGGTATAGTTTGTCAAAATCCATCATGTTAAGGTACCTTTAGACCGCGACTCATGAGAGCCATGTCGGCTGGCGCTGACAGCCCTTGCTATGGGACTTACTGCACAAAAACCAAAACTGGGGGCATCATGCACCTACGTCTGGGGCTCACTCCAAAAGTTTCAGTCTGAAGCCTGCAAATTGTGTCAGCTTGTAGGCCTATTCATCTGCTATCCAACAAGGCTATAGTTTGTCAAAATCCATCCATGTAAGGTACCTTTTAGACCGCGACTCATGAGAGCCATGTCGGCTGGCGCTGACAGCCCTTGCTATGGGGACTTACTGCACAAAAACGAAACTGGGGGCATCATGCACCTACGTCTGGGGCTCACTCCAAAA